TGCCATTAAGATGAAACACTGATTCATACATTTCATGGAAGCTCCTCGATCTAAGACTTTTCATCAAAAATTAATGATAAACGTAGTAAAACTAAAAGAAAGCGTGACCCTAGCGCATTGAAACGTGACCTGTCATCCTACAAGTTTAAGAATAGATCAATTACTAGGTTATTGTAAAGCAGAAATATGATCCTTGTAAAATGCAAAAATATGCAAAGTGTAGTCTTGACAGAGCAGGATTTACGTAGTTAAATAGGGTAGAACAAAGCATTATGCTCACGTTCGAATTAAGGGGTTTACTAACTGGAAACTATATGCCTTCCCTCGCAAATCTAATCACCTAAAAGCTAGCCACCAATATATATAAGCACTTTGATTTAGCAAATAAAGTTAGATGTAATCAGGACTAGAGTGTGAGCGAGTAAGACTCTTCGTTGAGGACCTAAAACCCGGCCAAGTCTAGAGTAAAACAAGCAGTCGGCACTTATCTGTTGGCCACGAAACCTTCCCAGTTGAAACAATAAGTAAATATATATACATTTATGGGTGTAATGTATCGAAGGGTGAAGTAGTAAGTAACCAAAAATTCCCCCGTCTGCACGGTCTGCACAGTCTGCACAGTCTGCACAGTCTGCATGGTCTGCAGTTTGCAGTCTGCAGTCTGCGTTTTAACATGACCGTACTCAAACTGCGAAATGGCCGCGCTTTAGTCTGTCACGTCATATTATCCCCTAAACTTTTGCGCAGGCTCTTAAACCAAGAAATGGACGGAGATTGTAGTACTTGAATAGTTCTAGGAGAGTCTAATCGTCGTTTTAAGGCCGGAAATGGCACCCTAGAGTTGTGTTATGCAGGATTGAGCAATTATTCTTTAATAAGAATGCTGAAATATCGCTACACAGACCAAACGAAATAGTCACGAAACCTAATGGATGGCATTCGAACGCCTACATTGCTCAAACCTCCAGCCCAAAGGAGTATTGACGTAGATTAGGCATGAAAAAGGATTGCCCCGGTTGCCATTCCTAGAATATGGAAAACACGTTTCAGCTGGCCATGTCTCCAAGAAGTCGCCAAGAGGGCGAGTGTTGTTAGATCGCGATCGTTCCGTTCGTTCTCACCTCACGTTTTCTATACCTCGAGAACATGCAACGATCGAACTTTCCGTGAGTTAAATTTGTTTTGATTTTCTTTGTCATCTGTTTATTTATTCTCTAAGACTTGTAATCCACCTTGTAAGATTTGTACACAAATAAATTTGTTCTGCTGGAATAAAGTCTTACCTTTCAGTTTTAAAAATTGCTTTCAATTCAATAATGTCAACATTGCTGTAGGAGTATGGAAAATTGTCTACATTCCTGACTTAACCAGGCCTGACAAAAGCCATGGAAAAGGCCTCTGCAGTTGAGAAGACAAGCTTTCTGGCAGGCTACCATTCTGTGGTTAATCAATCTGCCAAAAAGATGTAGACCAACTCATACCTGTACTCTGCAGGATTATGAAATTTCTGTTAGAAATATATAAGAACGTGACAGTCATAAGAGCGTGACACTTGATTAGCGTTACGTTTTATATCAGCGGATGATGTTAGCAATGACGTAGATTGTGTTCCCTTAGAAATCTGATGGCGGGGGTATTCAACGAACAGGGGTGACAATGACTAAGAACAGATTGGAGTGATCGGGACTGATCTCAGCTGTGAGCATTAAAAAATATTCAACGAGACCGAGAGTGACTAGTGTTGATATACGCGTTTCCAACAATTTCATTTAAAGCACAGTAGTCAATTTCACTATATACGAACAGCTCGAGTCAGGTCAGGTCGCTGTAACCACGGGTAACCTGCTACTGGTACTATGTAACCCAGTACAACCTGTCGCATAGTCGAGTCGTCGGCGACTAAACCGGCNTTCTTCGAAAAGAAGACTGTGATTTGTTTATAATGGTGACCTTGACAGTATTCCTTCTGAAGTTTTTCTCACTACATCCATCCATTATTGGTAACCCCACAATGCAGTGGATAAACAAGTGTTCAAATAAATAAACAAATGAATCACTCAGTGGTAATATCAGAATTGTCCTGCTTCACCAAATGTTTAGAAACATGATTACCTTATAGTAAAATTAATTTACCCTTTGTTAAGATTTATTTCCTCTGATCTAAATTTTTGGGAGCACATTCAAATACAAATAATTTGTAGAAGGCAGACCACCAGGCCAATCAGAGGTCAGAGAAGGTGGTGAACTACACATTTGCAGCAGGCCATGCAACCATGTAGACAATAGGACCACACTGCTTAATTACCTATAACTGTGAAACTAGGAAAGCTACAAACACTTTGATTTGATTCTCACAAGACAATTGTGTATAGTTCAACGCAAAATTCAGGAGTGAGCAAACTCCCTACTGCTGCTGCTTAGTTGTCTTAAATTGCAGGAAAATTACATAAGTACATGTATTTCTGGAGTTCACAGTTTCTGGGTGTCACAGTAACAGTGTGGACAAAATACTTTTGTTCCATGAAAATAACAAAAAGGAGTCCTTTGGAAAAGTTTATCAGCATTCTCATTTTTTCCGAAGATGAAAAGCTGCACAAACACGAGTCCATAGTAATGTGTAGTAAGTAAAACACAATTCATAGAAATAACCAGGCTATTGATTTTCTTCGAAACCATGGTATACCACAGTTTCTCTAGGAAAAGCGTTGCATAACGGCCTAAAGGCATTGCATGGCAAAGGGAAAAGATTTGAACTTCCAGCGAAATAAGAACAAGGGTAAACTGGCTGGAAGAGTACTGCTCGAAGACACCTTAGAACAATAAATATAGCCTTTCAAGAGATATTTTCATCCCTCTACAAAAGCTTAACTAAGAAAATATATGCTAAGATTTGTATTGTGAACTTCTGCGTCACCAGTAAGCCGCTTTTGAAGCTCTAGCTACCTCATTTCTTCTATAGCCACGTTTAATGATGTTTTCCTCAAAAGCGACGGCCTCTTCCTCGGTTGCACGTGGCTCTACTTCTTCGTCGCACGGAGCGCGATATATCCAATATGTCTCCTCAACACTACAACATTTGGAATGTCCAAAAGTATCGAATCAATGAAAATATACTAAGACATTTAACTTCTTATAAATTTACCTCAAGTCCCACCAGGAGAGACTGTGATAACTATAAAAGCGACTTAGGTTCTCTTTCTTCTGGAGACACGTGGGCTATCTTCGTACGTTTGGTATTTTACCAGACGTACTGGCTTGTCATGGAGAACTTCTCAATCATAGGGATCCGTTTTTCTGGATATAAATGATATTTTGGGCAATAAAAGAAATCTCAGGTTCTCCGGTTTTCTTTCCAGCAGAAGCACAAAGCTGCTAAATTCCAGTTTAGCAACTTTGTGCTTCTATCCATTGAGCTAACTGCCTCCAG